TACAATTACTATGGAAAACAGTATGGAGTATCCTCAACAAATTAAAAATGGAACTGCCTTATGACCCAGCTGTTCTATTTCTTGGGATTTATCTGAAGAAATGCAAAACATGAATTAGAAAAAATATATGCACCCTTTGTTCATAATGGCATTATTTACAATAGCCAAGATATGGAAGCCACGCAATTGCCCATCAATAGATGAGTGGATAAAAAAGCATTGGTACATACATACACAATGGACTATTACTTGGCCATAGAAAAGAATGATATCTTACCATTTGCAACCGCATGGGTGGACCTTGAAGGTATAATGGAAGTGAAATAAGTCAGTCAGATAAAAGACAAATAAAGGGTGTCCCAAATTCACGCAAGAAGTAATTTTGATAGATAACACAGGTTTGTAATTAAAAATTGTAACTTTTTTATTGATTCATAAAGTATACAGTATAGGGTTATGTATGAAATAGCATATCGGTAAATGGCCTCCACAGCTTTGCTGGCACGTACGCACTCTTTTGTTATTGCCTGAGCAGCCGCATTTTCGAAGAAGAATGGTCTGATGATGCCTCCAGCCCAAAATCCGCACCAAACAGTGACACGTTGTGGATGCATTTGTTTCTCAACAATCACTAGGGGATTTTCTGAACCCAAAATGCAACAATTTTGTCGATTATCCAAGCCATCAAGATGAAAATGAGCCTCATCGAAATTCAGCCACATTTATGCAAAACGGTCATGGAAAATTTCAACAAAAGAGTGTGTATGTGCCAGCAAAGCCATGGAGGCCATTTACCCGATATCCTATTCCATACATAACCCTATAGTGTATACTTTATGAATCAATAAAAAATTTACAATTTTTAAATTATAAACCTGTGTTTTCTATCAAAATTACTTCTTGTGTGAATTTTGGGACACCCTTTACCTGAGCTTTTAATTATATGTAGAATCTAAACAAAATAAATGAAGATACAAAATAGAAACACATAATACAATATACAGATAATGTATTATAGAACTGTATACTTGAAACCTATATAATTTTATTAACTAATGCAACTCCAATAAATTCAATAAAAATAAATAAACAAAATAAAAACAGGCTCATAGATATAGAGAACTGACTGATGGTTGCCAAAGGAGGGAGGTTCAGGGATTGGGTGAACAAGGTGAAGGGATTGAGAGGTGCAGATTGGTAATTACAGAATAGTCAAGGAGATGTAAACAACAGCACAGAGTATATAGTCAATAATATTGTAATAACTATGTTGGTGCCATGTGGGTACTAAAAATATTGGGGGAGATACTTTGTAAAGTATACTATTGTCTAGCCAAAATGCTGTACACCTGAAATGAATACAAAATAATACTGAATATAAACTGTAATATAAAAGTATAATAAAAAAACTAGTACAATGCCTGGCCCATAATAGAGGCCAAATAAATTAATATGCAATGGCATTAGTCATACTGAGGTTTGCACTTCTTTTTGGATAAATTATAAAGGATATTTGTGTTTTTAGGTCACCTTGTTTTAGGCCAAGAAGTACTCTGGGACACGGTATGAACTATAGCTAAGGAAACTATCTGAGCTCCAAATTGAAAAAAAGCAATTTTATTCTTTTCCCATTGTATCCTCTCTCATTAACAGGATGGTTAGCTTTCAGAAGTGGAATTTAAAACTCCTCTTGGAGCCCTATTGCATTGGCCATGCAACCATTCCTTCGCAAACTGTGGTCTAGTAGCTAATATTTTCCTTGAAAGTAGAGATTCCTCAAAGAAGTCAAGTACTCCTGACTTGACCTTATTTCAGTAATCAATGTAATGGGTTGAGGTTTGCAGCAGCACTAGTACTGTAAAGAAGCCCCAGTTCTAGAACACCCATGGCACTGGAAACAAACTCACTGGATACAGAGCCTGAACTCTTGGGACTAATACCCATTAATAAACTGAATGACACTTGTAACACCATCCTTTCTGTGTACACATTACAATCATCAGTGTGAAGCAAAATAAAAAAGCTGCTAGCAAAGTAAGTTCTATTTATATGCATAAAATTCTGTTATAATAGAAAGAGTACTGGCTTAAAAGACTTAGATTTTCCCATCTGTTAAATGAAAGTAATGATAGTACCTACCTCAAAAAACTACTGAGGTGCTCCATTTAAATAATATATTTAAATTCCCTAATACAAGCCTCATTCATAATAGATAGGTTTACTTATCCTTTGGGGGTCCTCCAATTCAGTATTTTAGTGTTCTTCAGGCAAGTCAAGACCTCTCCAGAACTCATCCTTGTAATGCAAGGGTTGTTTGTACTGGTGCGATTTTTTTTAACCCCGAAATTTTGGATTCCTTTGACAAAGGCAATGAAAGGAGGGAAGGGAAGGGATGGAAAGGGGAGGTGAGGGGAGGGATGGAAAAGGAAATTTTTGCTGAACTGGTTATTATTGACACTCCTATATGAAATAATCTATTATAATAGCCTATTATAATAACCTATTATAATAGTGCGCAAAATTGCATGAGACCCAGACCCGCAGGAAATCATGCGAGACCCAGGACCCCCAAGTCCCACCAGTGCTGCGGGACTTCCCTGAGTCCCGGGGCACCGTGGGACCCAGAGTCAAGTCCCTGCCCACCCAGGCACAACTCGCTGCGCATGCAGCCTCCTGGTGACCGGTCGTTGGTCGTTACGGCATTACGACCACTGGGTTTTTATTATATAGATATTTTCTGTGCCTGATCTATGCATTTTAGGCTAAGTGAAGGGAGAGGAAATCCAAGCTGTAAATTTGTGGCCATTTTTTTATGCTATCAAATAGCTATTAATCTTCAATTTCTCTTCCTTTCCCTACCACAGACAATCTTCCTCTGCCAAAAGAATCATCCCTAAAATCCCAGTCTGTCTAATAAACTAAAGAAGTACAGCAGTAAATGAGAGAAAAACAACCAGGACTTGGAGAAAGTATGGGGTGGAGGGAAGGGATGCTGAAGCTCAGGCTGGGACAGGGCTGGAGAAGTTCTCTGTGTTTTAGAGCAACAGGGTAGGCATCTCGTCTATTTCTGCAGGTGACTCTATGCTTGTGGATCTACCTGTTCCTCTTGTGTATTCATTCAGTCAATTTTTTAATGAGGCCCTACTGAGTGCCAGGCCTGTACTATGAGCAAAGAGGAAAAGTATAGAATGAAATGTTTGTTTGTTTTTTCCCAGAGAGATATGAATTTTATTCTATTATTTTAACTTAAATTTTATTTTTGAAACTATTACACATGTCCCCACTTCTTCTCCCTTTGCCCACCACCACCTAGCCCCTGCCCTCCCTTACCTCTGGCCATCACAGCACTGTTGTCTGTGTCTATGGGTTATACACATATGTTCTTTGGCTAATCCCTTCACCTTCTTTCATCCAGTCCCCCCTACCCCAGCCCCACCCCTCTGACAGCTAACAGAATGTTCCATGTATCTGTACCTTTGATTTTGTTTTGTTCTTCAGTTTATTTTGTTCATTAGATAACCACATATAAGGTAGATCATATGGTATTTGTCTTTCTATGACTGGATTATTTGGCTTAGCATAATATTCTCCAGGTCCATCCATGCTATCACAAAAGATAAGAGTTCCTTATTTTTTATAGCTGCATAGTATCCCATTGTATAAATGTGCCACAGCTTTTTTATCCACTCATCTATTGATAGGCACTTGGGCTATTTCCAGATCTTGGCTATTGTAAATAACACTGCAATGAATATAGGGGTGAATATATTCTTTTGGAATTAGTGTTTTGGGATTCTTAGGATATCTTTCCAGAAATGTGATAGCTGGGTCCAAAGGCAATTCCATTTTTAATTTTTTGTGTAAACTCCAGTCTGCATTCCCACCAACAGTGCACAAGGGTTCCCTTTAAGAGTTGGCTTAATAGACATATGAAAAACGCTAAATGTCTCTAATCATCAGAGAGATGCAAATTAAAACCACAATGAGATATCACTTCACACCTTCCAGAATGGTTACCATCAATAAACCAACGAACAAGTGCTGGTGAAGATGTCGAGAATAAAATACGTGGTTTTTTTTTTTGAGTGAACCTCCATGTCTTTCTTTGAGTAGCAGTGATCCTGAGGATCTCTGTGTTTGTGTTTGTGTTTGTGTATGTATGTTTCTTTGTATCTATGACAATTCAAGGTGTGCATGACAGTGATCATTTCTCTTGTTTTGGCTTCAGAGGACTTCCTTTCACTTGCTGTGATTCACTTCACAAAGAATGAGCCTATCTGTTTGATTTTTATAATCTACAGAATTGGGGGTATGATCACTAGCAATTTAAAAACAAATAGAAATCCTATATAAATGCTCTTTTGTAAAAGTTTTACCTATATTTTTATTGTAAAAAATAACATGTTGCCAGCCAGTGTGACCTATGAACCAGGAGGTCATGGTTCGATTCCAGGTCAGGGCACATGCCTGGGTTGCAGGCTCAATCCCGAGTGTTGGGCATGCAGGAGGCAGAAGATCAATGATTCTCTCTCACCATTGATGTTCCTATCTCTCTTATCCTCTCCCTTCCTCTATGAAATCAAGAAAAATATAAACAAAAAGAAAAAAAATAATGTTATTAGTTCAAGCATGATTTCAGGAGTCAGGAAGAGGAAAAGTGACAATTTCCACCAATGATCATTTTTTCATGGGCATTACTGGCTTTTAGTAAAGGTTAATACATAGATCATCTTATTGAACATACCAGTCAGTAGTCCTGATAAAGCAGATGTCATCAGGACCTGAATTGTTCATCCCTATGAAAACAAACAGAATAGCATTGAATTAAACCAGTCTGGTTTAATAGATTCTGTGTGATCAAATTGTTTAGGGCCATTCTCTGTCCACTTCTTTCATGTGGCAGGATATATCTTTATGCCCTTGCTGCCTAGAAATACTTAAGGAGAGATACTCTGGAAAACCATTAACAGATCTATCTACTTTTATATTTATTCTCCCAGGGAAACAGAAGTACCTTTGTGCCAGCAGAAATGATTGCACCATCGATAAATTCCGAAGAAAAAATTGTCCATCTTGTCGCCTCCGGAAATGCTATGAAGCAGGGATGACTCTGGGAGGTATGATACTTTTATTCCTTTTTCTTCTCTTCCCTTTCCCGTTCTCATTCTCTGGTTCTCTCTTTAAACCAGATTTTCCTCTTTGCTATACCCCATTCTTGGGCTAAGCATGAGAGCAGGAGGTATGAAGCAAGAATCAGGCAGGACTCTCTTCAGGGATGAGTGTGGACTTGACTAAGAAGGGTTCCCCAGAGGACATAATGGTACTGGCCTTATGTTGTTAAATGGTGGCTAGGATGAGAGAACTAAGAAATTCAGAACAATTAGAGGTGCAGGATGACCCAGGCACAGGCTGGCCTTGAACACCCAAGAATATCCATCAGTTAACTGCTGCCAATATTGTAGGGCTGGCCACCTGGAAAGAGAAGCTGCTTTTCTTTGGAGCCTATGACTAAGATGCCAAGCAGAGCCAATTTCCTATCCCACACCTCCTAGGGATGAACAGGTCTTTTAATCATGCCCTTTTCCTTGCAAATCTATTGATAATTTCCAAAAGCATTCATTTTGGTAGCACAGTAGCTTGACCGAGGTAAGATACAGCTCTTTCAATGGCGACTCCACATAATAAGGTTCTTTCTTCCCTAGTCTGTGTCTATCATAAGCACTGGTACCATTCCAGAAAAGCTTTGCTGACACTTATACCCCCCACCATTTTCTCATTTCTTCATGTTCACATCTGTTTAATGCTAGAGTCATCTCTGCTGCCTTCCACTTCCAGAAAGATGCACCTTTCATGAGTAAAGCAAGATCATTAGTCTATTTTGATTTCAAAATGGAACTTGAGGAAAGACAAATCTACTTCTGAATGCCTAAAACTGTAGCTTCATACCTGAATACTCCTTATCAGCCTATCAGATTCTAGGAAAACGTATGCGCCCAGAATCCTGCCCTCTCACCTCCCCTCTCAAGGCTAATTTAAAGCACTTGTCCATCTTTAGTTTTTGTTTGTTTGTTTGTTTGTTGTTGTTGTTGTTGTTTTTATGCTCAATACCTATGTGCATATTTATAAAAACCAACTTGTTTTCTAACCATGTGTGGGTCTTCATGTGGATAACTCTATACTCCCTTTCTTATAGGCCAGTAATAGTCCTTAACCAGACAAAAGTACTGCAAATAAATTGATCCAGGCTCAATATGAGATGGTTTTAACAGAAGCCTTTCAAGTAGTGTCTAGTATTCCCAGAAATCATAGGCAGATGCTCTGTGAGTGGTTTTCCAGGCAGTCACATCAAATGAAACTCAAATATTAAAAAAAAAATCAACCTTGTTATTGTTTGCTTGGCTTCTCCAGATAAATCTCAATTGTAGTGGGGAGGAAGAAATAAGACTGGGATGGGGGAGTGCAGAAGGAAAACAAAAGGGAAGTTTTTTCCATGTGAATTTTATGACCCCATGTGAGGTTTCTGATACACTGAACTCTCATTTAGCTGTCTGTGAATTGTGTATAAGAGATGGGGCTTGCAAGTAGAGAACCCCTTAGTTTTCCATTTGTTGATATGCCCACTTTGATGCAGGTAAAGCCTAATGGCAACCAAAGTCCTAATACAGTTGGCTCCCAATCTTAAAATTAGTGTCATGTCTCAGCCAGCATCCTCTATTATAAAGCAGTCTATGACATGATTACAGTGAACCCCTTTGAAAAGGAGTTTATGTATAAGAGATCATTTTACTACTCCTTATAGAAGACAGGCATAAATCTATAAATCTTTGGTGAGAGTGGTATGGTAAATTTACAAATTGACTTTATACAGTTGAACAAGTTAAACTTTGAATAGGCTTGGTAAACACAATGAAAATAAGCTGAAAAGTGCTGTGGTTGACTTTATTTCACTTCCATTTCTGTAATATTTACTGTGTTTCTACTATGTACAAGGCACCATGCTAGGCAATAGAGCTTCAGGCAGGCAAATTTCAAGAAATGTCTATAAGATAAAAGGATTTTTATGTCATGTAAATGCCTTTGTCTTTGGAATCAGGAAGACCTAGGTTAAAGGCCCAACTCCATTATTTATTGTGCCCTGTGTATGTCTCAATTTCTTCATCTGTAAGGTTAGAAATATCACTCTCACAGAGCTATAAAGGGAGTCATATGATATGATAAATGTGAACATTTTTGGTAAAGGACAAAGTGTGAGGGTTTATTATGACAGTGAGGTTACTAGTAATTTATCTGGTTAGGATGTTCACAGCACTTCCCAGTTGGCTCTTATTCTGAGTTACTTGGCATATCCTATGATAGTAACAGCTCCAACAGGCAGAGAATCACCAGAAATCACTCTTGATTACCTCAAACCAAAAATACTGTCAAGATCTTTATAGAGATGATTCTAGTAACTAAGATAATTATATATTACTAGTGGCCCGGTGCACGAAAATTTGTGCACTCAGGGGGGGTCCCTCAGCCCTCTTGCAGTCTGGGACACTTTGGAGGATGTCCACCTGCTGGCTTAGGCCCACTCCCTGGGAGATCAGGCCCAAGCTGGCAGTCAGACATCCCTCAGGCAGCCCAGCAGCCCTCGGGGGATGTCCACTTACCAGCAGGGAGCAGACCTAAGCTGCAGTCGGACATCCTTAGCGCTGCTGAGGAGGCGAGAGAGGCTCCCACCACCACTGCTGTGCTGGCAGCAGTCAGCCTGGCTTGTGGCTGAGCAGAGCTCCCCCTGTGGGAGCACACTGACCACCAGGGGGCAGCTCTGGCATTGCGTGTCTGCCCCCTGGTGATCAGTGTGTGTCATAGTGACCAGTCATTCCCAATCATTCTTCTGTTAGGGTCAATTTGCATATTACCCTTTTATTATATAGGAAAGAGGCCTGGTGCATGGCTGGGGTGCCTGGCCAGCCTGGGTGAGGGGCTGATGGGTGTTTGCCGGCTGGTCACACCCCCTTCAGGGTGGGGGTCCCCACTAGGGTACCTGGCCAGCCTGGGTGAGGGGCTGATGGCTGTTTGCAGGCTGGTCACACACCCTTCAGGGTGGGGGTCCCCACTGGGATGCCTGGCCAGACTGGGTGAGGGGCTGATGGCTGTTTGCAGGCTGGTCAAGCCCCCCCCCAGTGGGGACCCTCACCCCATGGAGGTTGGGCCAGCCTAGGTGAGGGGCTGAGGGCTGTTTTCAGGCTTGCCAAGCCCCCCTGGCGACAGAAGCTCCCAGCCTCTCCTTTTTTTCTTTTTTCTTTTTTTATTCTGGGATTTATTTACCTTCTATAATTGAAACTTTGTAGCCTTGAGTGGAGCTCAGAGCTGGCCAGGGCGGGCGGGAGGGAAGCTTGGCTTCCTCCGATGCCAGGGGCAACCCAAGCCTCCTGCTCGCTCCAGCTCCGTGGCCACGGCCAGCTGAAAGCAGGCATCTGGGGTTTATTTATCTTCTATAATTGAAACTTTGTTGCCTTGAGTGGAGCTCAGAGCCGGCCGCGGCAGGCGGGAAGCTTGGCTTCCTCCATCACTGGAGCAACCAAACCTCCTGCTTGCTCCAGCTCTGTGGCTGTCGGCCACCATCTTGGTTGGGTTAATTTGCATATAATCGCTCTGATTGCCTGGTGGGTGTGGCTTAAGGCATAGCGAAGGTATGGTCAATTTGCATGTTTGTCTTTTATTAGTGCAGATGTTCAAGTACCATGTCAGTAAGAACCCAAATGTTTACCGTCTTAGACATCATTGTTTGCAAAACAAACCTTTCCATTTTGCTAAACTTAAGTCTCCATTTCTTTTTCTTTACTTTTTTATTTTAAATTTCTTTATTCATTAAGTTATTACATATGTGTCCTTATACCCACATTACCCCCCAACCCCCACTCATGCCCTCACCCCCCTGTTGTCTGTGTCCATTGGTTAGGCCTATATGCATGCATTCAAGTCCTTTGGTTGATCTCGCCCCCTTACCCCCACCCTCCCCTACCTTCCCTCTGAGGTTTGATGGTCTGATCGATGTTTCTCTGTCTCTGGATCTGTTTTTGTTTCTCATTTTATGTTGTTCATTATATTCCATAAATGAGTGAGCTCATGTGATATTTATCTTTCTCTGACTGGCTTATTTCACTTAGCATAATGCTCTCCAGTTCCATCCATGCTATTGCAAATGGTATGAACTCCTTTTTTACTGTAGCATAGTATTCCATTGTGTAGATTTACCACAGTTTTTTAATCCACTCATCTACTGATGGGCACTTACGCTGTTTCCAAATCTTAGCTATGGTGAATTGTGCTGCTATGAACATAGGGGTGCATATATCCTTTCTAATTGGTGTTTCTAGTTTCTTGAGATATATTCCTAGAAGTGGGATGACTTGGTCAAATGAGAGTTCCATTTTTAGTTTTTTGAGGAAACTCCATACTGTTCTCCACAGTGGCTGCACCAGTCTGCATTCCCACCAGCAGTGAAGGAGGGTTCCTTTTTCTTCGAATCCTCTCCAGCACTTGTCCTTTGTTGATTTGTTGATGATAGCCATTCTGACAGGTGTGAGATGGTACCTCATTGTCCTTTTGATTTGCATCTGTAAGATAATTAGTGACTTTGAGCGTGTTTTCATATGTCTCTTGGCCTTTCTTCTGTCTTCTTTTGAAAAGTATCTATTTAGGTTCGTTGCCCATTTTTTTATTGTGTTTTTTATCTTCCTTTTGTTAAGTTGTATGAGTTCCCTGTAAATGTTGGAGATTAAACCCTTATCGGTGATAACACTGGCAAATATGTTCTCCCATGCAGTGGGCTTTCTTGTTGTTTTCTTGATTGTTTCTTTTGCTGTGCAGAAGCTTTTTATTTTGATGTAATCCCATTTGTTTATTTTCTTTTTAGTTTCCACTGCCCTAGGAGCAGTATCAGTGAAGAAATTGCTTTGGCATATGTCTGAGATTTTGCTGCCTGTGGATTCCTCTAGCATTTTTATGGATTCCTGTCTTATGTTTAAGTCCTTTATCCATTTTGATTTTATTTTTGTTTATGGTGTAAGTTGGTGGTCTAGTTTCATTTTTTGCATGTATCTGTCCAATTTTCCCAACACCATTTATT